TTTCTTCGGGGGAGTGGTTTCCCAAACCTTTTGTTTTACGGTTATTGTAAATATTTAAAACTTGTCTCATCTTTGCATGGAGAAGTGTCTATACTTGTCGTCATTGACATTTCATTTGCTTCACCACCTTGTGGTTGGTTTAAGTCTCTTAACATTTTTATACAACCGTCAATGACACCAAGAGCAGAATGGTTTTGGTCGACAATGAAATATTGGTTTACATTTTTTGAACGCAGATAGTTTTTTACATCATCTGATTTGAAGAACTTTCACAGTCAGATGTCAGTTTTGTTGGATGGTATTTGTCAACGAATATTGTCAAAGCTGCTAAGATATCTAAAATAGCTTTGGACTGTAATGGTATGGCTTCACAGTATCTTGTGTTTTGACCGACAAATATTAGCCAGTATGGTGTCCATCTTCTCTATACCTCGGAATGTTTTCCCAAGATATCCATAAACCAAGCATTTGTGTTGAACTAAAGATTTTTACCATGAGTGCTTTTTTTGTTGCCCTTAGAAACATAGGGTCCTTGTTTGGATTCGTCATTTTTACCCTATAAGAAATGGTTTATTTGGCGCATTAGCAGGAGTTGCATCTAGATTTTTGCCCGCAGTGGGAACAATAGCCAGGGTGTATTTGGAGTTGGAAGGAAGAATTTTGAGTACATTAGGTATACTGAAAGAGAAAGCAACCTATTATACAAACTGTACAGAAAGGTTGGGATGTAGCACGAAATGCAACAAATCTTATTCCAAATCCTGAAACAAGAGGAAAAGTTCAAAGGATGGATGGACAATGTAGGAAGACAAGCAGGAAACTATTATAACAAAGCAAATGACTACTATAACCAAGCAGGACACTATATGGACCAAGGTGAAAGATTCTTTAACAGGAGATTAACCATGCACAACAATGGGTAAACAATAACCAACCTCAACCGCCTCAAACGTGGGGAATGTAAGTTTTTACTGAGATGAAAATGAACAATACAGCATTGAGACAAATGGGTTCAAGATGGATTTGTCGACTTCCAGCAGTTACACAACGTGTTTGTCAAGTTCTTCCTATACCTCAGGAAGTTTTAGACCGACTTAAAAAACCTAAACAACCAGTTGAAACACAAACCAAACTAAAAATTTTTTACTGAGATGAAATGACCGAAGAAGTTGAAACGGTAGATTTGACACCACAAACAAAAAGTTCAGAACCATTGTCAAAACCTGTCAAAAGAACTTACAGATGAAGAGAAAATTCAATAATAGAAAGTGCCAGGTCTGGAAATACAAAACCTAACTATAAAGTCACTTTTCATAGAAATGGAACGGCTAGTATCTCAAAAAAGAAACAGACTCTCACAAATAAAATATTGAAGTCTGAAGGAGCTTTCGAGACAACAGATGGAAAAGTTTACTTCACTGACAACAGTTCATTATAGAACATCTCATTGACTTAGAGTCGAAATATTCTAAACTTTACAACAAACACAAAAAGTTGAAAGGAAAACAAAAACAAATGGCATATGATATTTTATGAAGATGTTGACGACACAACTGTTCCTGCAGGTGAGGTAAAGTCAGAGGAACCGAAAAGTGACGAAAAACCGATAGAAGAGAAAAACCAAAAACTGAAGATAAACCAAAACCAAAGTTTAGTTTCCAAACTAAACCAAGTCAACCTTCATTAGCTGGTATGGGTTGGCGTCAAAGACTTATGGCAGCAGGCGGTTATGTTAAGTAAAAAAAAATATATTTTTTTATTTTATAAAAATGCCCACATATAGAATGGATAGAAATCTGCTAGAATAAAAAGCAGAGTTGCAAAGATATGGTTGGAGAGTTTCGAAGAAGTTTAAATATAGGAAGGAAGACCCATAAAAGTCTATGACAAACTGGCTGGTCTGACCTACGAAATGGTTTGGAAACAGCACGTGCAAATTATCCAAACAGACTAGAGAGGTTAGAAGAAGAACGTCTATGAACATGCCTTTCGATGTTAGTGAACCTCAAGTTGAAGGACACGACGGCTTTGCCAGATTTACTGAAACATGACGAACAATTGCATCCTTTGAGAAGGAAAAAAGGTAGTGCAGAGGATGGTCATGCTCCTGGAAAGAACAAGATATGCATATGAAAAGTATCGTGAAGTTAGAAGTCAAATTACATCTGGTCGAACCTTTACAGTAAACTTTGACGAAGGAAAGAACAAAGAAGGCTTCATGGTGGTACTTGCTGGGCAATTCAAGACGGAAATAAGAAAGGACACAATCTCAGATTGACCATAACAGATTTGGATGGTCACATTTACTATGCAAATGGCAATGAACAACAGCTGCAAAACTTCTTGACGCTTTCAAGACTACAAAGAGAGAACAAATGGTTGACTCGACTCAGACATTTTGAATGCAATTGAAGGGAATTGCAAGTGTCAAGTTCGAATGGTACAACCTAACCCTCAAGCAGTCAGACAACATGCTGGATACTTTTTCATAAATAAGTCTGACATTGACTTGACAAGGTATGGAATTTACAATTCAATTGAAACAATTGTCAATGAACCTTGCATTCTTACATGTCTCAGGAACTCTGGTCTTGTTCAGAAGAGAAGATGAAGTATCTTGAGTCATGTGTGAAGACAAGGTACATTTCTCAGAGTCAATTGGCAAAAATTGCACCGTTGGCAAATGTCATAATCCGAGTCAACATACCTACAGCTAAAGGTTCTTCACATGACGACTATGTTGTTGAGTTCAATTTACCATGGTTGAAGATTGTAATTGTCCACAACCACTTCATGTTGAACGAAAGTCTTACAACCAATTGTTCGGAAAAGGCAAGTGCAACATTGTCAGAGCTGTAAACATTCTTTTCGAGAAAGGTTTGTTGGAACCAAATTCCAGATGACAAGCTGACAGAAACTTTTGTACCAAAAGACGAAACAAACTTTTCACTGTTAGCAAGACCAAAGTTGTTCCAGACAAAGTTCTAGTACAAAAGAAGTACACAATTCCAAAAGGAGTTGGATTTTTCGGTACCAACCTGAACCAGAAGAACTTCCAATGAGGTTGCAAGAACTTCAAGATGCTATAAAACACTTAGTTAGTATACCTAAGTCGTGTACTGAGGCACTGCGCGCCTCCGTACACAACTTAGCTGTTTTGACACTTTACAAAACCACTAACGTAATATTTTACAACACAAACACAAACACCAACTAACCTTAAATATTTATAAAGCCGCCAACCACTTCACCTCACTACTGTAAAAATAAACGTTCTCACTTACAAAAGTATTGCAACTCTTCCCATTGCTGTGCTTCACAACAATAGTTCATATTCTTCAGTATCGCTGCTGTCGCTCCAATCGTCAGAGTCAAAATCACTGTCAAAATGAATGTTAGTAAGTTTTGACAAAGCTAATGAAACACGTTTACCGTTTTGTATCGTATGCTTGTATAAACTTTCCATTCTTTCATTCCTTCATAAAACGCTCAACATACTTTACCCTTTCTCCCTCGTAATCTGATAGAATGTTATTTTCACGAGGAACGAAGAACAAATTCTTGACCTCATTGACCGTTTAGTTTGTATTATCTCATAGTTTCGTCATTTACATCCAAATAAAATTTTCAGTAAAATAAAAAATAACTTAAAAATTAATGATATCACCACCCTCACACGTATGAAAACATAGCGCAAAAATAGATTTAGGTGAAGTGGTGAGATCTCACCTCTTCTTTTCACTGTTTTTTCCCCTAGCCGCAAACCGGCCTCTGACCCTTTGGGTCTGTTGAATTCATTGCTTTATAACTCTCTTCCTTGGTTTCTTTTTAGTTGCTTTCTTCACGCTGTCTCCAATGACT